GAGGCCGGGCTCGGGGCCTGGTAAGTCCCGGGGGGCGTGGCGGGGGCGTGGCCCCGGGCGACTGGCGGTCTCCGGGCGAGTCCCGCGCTCTGACCTGCTGTCCCATAGGGCTGAGCGGGGACGGCGGCCTGCGGGCCATGCCTCGGGACTCGCTGTGGGAGCTGGTGGAGGAGCACGTTCCGCTCCAGGAGCGGCCCGAAGTGAAGAGGATTCTTGGGGAGGCGGCGGTAGACCTGAGCCTGGAACTGAGGGCGGAGGTGGGGAGTCGGGAGGGGGGCCGCGCCCCAGACCTGCCCCAAGATTCGGGCGATTTCCCAACTCCTCCGGCCCCTGGCCAGCCCAGCAATTCCGGACAGGTCGGCTCTCACCGTCCGCTCTTGCCGTCTCGTTGAACTCCGCCCTAAGCCTCTCTCCCCTGGTCCTCACTCCCAGCACCTCCTTCCTCAGTCCCAAGGTGTCCCAGCTCTCCTTGCAGGTGGCGACACTACGGGCACTGCTCCAAGATGCTCAATCTTCCCAAGCCCCTGGCTCTCACCCCATTTCTGACCCCTCCTCCCTTCTGGCACCACCGCCCCTCCTGAGGGACCTCGTGCGCCAGGAACTCCGGCAGCTGCTCCAAGGTCTCCGCCACAAGGCCGTCTTTGAGGGCAGGTGGGCATTTCAGCCTGGGCCGCTTCCCTGAACGTTAAGTGGCCATCCTTGTCCCGACGAGGAGCCAGCGTCACCTCTCCTGTGGTTTCCTGAAAGGAGCCCCTCGGCTTCCTTCCTGTGCACCTTCTGCAGGGACCAGGCCCAGGCTTGGGTCGGGTATAGCCCCAGGGTCCTTCGCTTTGCTCTGGAGGAGCCCAGGCCCGATCTACCAGAACGGGAGATACTCCAGATGAAAGCTGGCGAGCCCAGGTAAAGTGGAGGTAGGAGAGGAGGCGCTGTCTCTGCTTGGCTGAGGGCCCCAGGCAACTGGCAGCCGCCTGTCTCCTTGGAGGAGCTTCTCATCTGGGGCTGGACACTTTTACAGGCATTTGTGGTAGGGAACAGCACACCACGGGTCCAGAAGTCCAGAGGAGACACCCGCCCAGCCTGAGGCAGACAAGGCTTGCAAGAGAAGGACTGGTTTAATCCAGATCTTGGATTATGAGTTTTCCAGGCAAATGAAAAGAAGGCCGGCTGCTGTGCCCATTGGGCAGTTCCTGGGACCTAGAGAACAGCAGCTGGGGAGGCAGGGAGAGCTGGGCAGAGGGCGGCAGGGGTATCTGCTGCTAGATGGAATTGGATGAGATACCTGGATGGGAACCAAGTCACATGAAGGGGATGGCAGCAACATTTTTTTTTTTTTTTTTTTGTTTGCTAGAGGTAGTACAGTCGGTGGAAAAAAACAGAGAGGGAAAGTGAGAAAGCATCCCCTGGAGGAAGATGGCAGCGCTTCAGTCCTCCTCCGTTCTCCTCTCAGGAATTGGGGCATGCATGCACATGCGCCCAGCGTGTTTTTCAAGCCAGCAGGTCCAGGATTCGAACTGTGCAGTTATGATATGGGATCCAGCCACCTTAACCTGCTGCTCCCCCCCCCTTTTTATATTAATCATCAGAGGGCGTAGATGCTCACCAGTGAGGCAGAGCGGGAGGAAGTATCCTCAGTGGGAAGTGATCAGCTGCAATCCCGTCTTCTCCATCTCTCCATCCTTTTGGGATTTGGGGCATGCACATACATGCGCCCAGTGTTTTCTTCAAGCTATCAGGGCTGGATTTTGTTGGCTATTCTAATCCTCACAAGACTGCTTGCGGTGGGCAACTTCCCCCTTTTGCATACAAAGAAATTAAAGTTCAAAAAGAAAGGGGCCGGTGGGTGGCGTGGTGGTTAAGGGTGCTGGACTCCCACATGGCTGACCGTGGTTCGCGTCCTAGACCTGACTGCTTGCTTCCTCACTTTCCCTCTCTCTTCTGTCCCTCTCTGATCAAATTAAAAGAAATTATTACAGTAATTCTTTTAAAAAAAAAAGTTCAGAAAGAAAGAGTGATTTGCTCAAGGTCACACACAGCGAAGGGTAACAGAGCCTTTTAGGAAACCAGGCTCCAGAACGTCTACTCTTTGTACCATTTCGTTTTGCCTTTGTGAGAAAGGACACACAGTTGTCAGGAGAAGTGGCATCTGTGTCCTGGAGGTCTGGGGTGAGCCCAGGGGGAGGGTGATGTTGACCTTCTCCCCCAGCAGCAGCCACAGGGACCTCAGCATTATCGAGAACCAGCTGAATGTGTCCACCATCGACCAGGTTGCCAGACACTTGAGGTGAGGCCCAGGGGCACCTGTGTGTGTGTAGAGGTGGAGACGGGACAGGAGACAGGTGGACCTCAAGGTGCTGGGACTGAGAGAGAAGTGAAGGGAGGCAGTATGCCTGTTGGCAGGGGCGTCCCACATCCGAAGGCCGAGGGTGGGAAGAGCCAGCTACTGCAGTTGGCTAAGCTGCCACTTCACCAGCTCGCCTAGCACCGACGCCATGGCCCTAGGGTTTTCCCCTGGCACAGGGGAGCCATGGAAGTGTTTTAGCAGGGCAAGGGCTGTGGTGTGGCAAGGATGGAGATGAGAAGGGTCATGGGCCAGGGCAATAATTAGAAGAGAGGGGTGGGGAGCTGTGAATAGGTCAGGAGGAAAGGTCCTGCCTGGGGCAGCAGCAGAGGGCCTGTGAGCTGAGAAGGGAGAGCTAGAGGCACTCCTGGCAAGGTCAGAGGTTGGGGCGATGTGGTGGGCCCAACTGAGACCTGATTCCTTATATCTCAGGGGCCTCCTGGAGGAGGAGTGTCGTACCTTGGAAAGGGAGATCTGCATCCTGCAGGTGAGCTGCAGCCCTGGGCCTCTCCCAGAGCCTATCTGCTGATGTAACACACGCTTCTCACCTGGGTGTACGAAACTCATGCACATGTGTCTGCACGTATGTGCACGCGAAGGTCACACAGATCCTGCCTCTGTGCGCACACTGGGTGGGTGTGAAGTCCCAGAAGCCCAGGGCTCTATTTGAGCCCTTCAGTCAGGGTCAGCAGTTTGGGATTAACCTACTGGGTTTTCCCAGGCCCTTGGCCTCCTTCCTTCCCCTCAACCTGGGTACAGGCACAAGCCCAGCTACCATCTTGCCAGACCTAGCTTTCAGTGGGACTGGTGTCCCTCTGGGGGCCCCCTTCATGGATAGCTGGGGTGAGGGGCTTGCATGGACACCTGCTGGGCCCTGCCCCAGGGATCTCGGCCTCTGTGCCCTGCCCCACCCCACTCCACCTTGGGCTGGGCACTGACCTGGCTCTCCCTGCAGTGCTGCCTGGAGGAAGAGTACTCACGGGCTTACCAGCCCTCTGAGGCCACCCGAGAGCCCACCCTGGCAGGTGAGAACCCTGAGCAGGCCCCGAACACGCTACCTTCCACTTCCTGCCCCACGCTACAGGCTCTAGAAGAGTTGGACACTGTCTCAGTGCTCACTCTCTCAGAGCTCAAGGAACAGAAGAAGGCCATGGAGCAGGAGCTGCAGGCACCTCTGCGGCCTTCCTGCGTCTCTCCCAGGTAAAGCAAAGCAGGTAAATGGCTGGGCAGGTGTCCAAAGTGTCAGGCCACCGCTGCTATTACTCCTTCCTGTTCAGGCAGCCTGAGGGGTCCTCCGTTCCGGGCCCCAGGCGCCTTCCCGGGCTGCGTGGAGCCGCTGCAGTCTGGGGCCGCCCTCTACACTGCCCCCGG